TAATAGTATGTTTTGTTTCAAAGTCAATTAGCCCAAATCAAGACACTATGGATGCAGAATTACTTGTTTAGAAGAAAATGATCTACAGAAACAATGCACATTTAATTTTAGAAAATAAAAAAGTTAAGAGTCTAATAGTCTATCTTATACAGGAGATATGTGGAAATGTTTTTTTTTTTGTCTTATTTTTGTCTTTGTCCCTTAATGTGGATAAGTTTAGATACTTCTGAAGTTTTGGTCTATTTGGTCTTTTTGAAGAAACCACTGTCCTATTATACTGCAAACACAACATAAAAGGGTTTATTTATAATTTCTATCAAAATAATCTCTGACTGGTTAAACTTAATTTACTTGTATGACAACATAAATAGGAGAGTTACTGTACTATAAATTTGTTTGCAATGTTTGTACTTTAGAAATGTGGATTATTCTATTATTCATTGAAAAACATTAATGATGTTGTAGCAGTCTTTAATGCATAAGGTTCTTACTCCTCTCATTTGCTTTTGTCCTAATGATTTTCTATTCGTTCTCCATCTGCTTTGGGCTCTAGGCTGCTTTTGTCACGGCCATCAAACGGATGAGATTTAATTTGACTCTGACATTTCTCTGCTCACCTCTGTGACATTGTCCCCCAGGCTCCATGCTTATTGGTCAGGATGTTGAGGATCTTCTGTTTCAGCTGGTTGGCAGTCACATGATCTCTGTGCTTGGCGGCGCTGATGAGGTGGTCGCACATTTTCTCCTCCTCTCTGCGGTCCGCAGCGTACTGGGCACAGTTAGACTGGGTAGAGAGAGGAGAAGAGATTTAAGCAAGGACTGGTCACAATATATTGATAAAATAATAATATTTTAGAAAACTTTGGATGAGCAAATTTGTAGGTATTGTACAGCTTATTTATTGTATTTTTGATAAAGCTTAAAACATCATCAAAAAGGGCAATAACTAACCACAATGTTTAAATGGCAAAATACACGATAAAAAAAAAACTCTTAATAAATGTAAATGTGATTTTAGAGCAGAAAGCGAAATAGAGATGAGTGAATTAATCAAATTTACCAATGTTTCATCCGCATAATAAAGCTTGAATGTTACTTACAATTTTGTATTTATTTGATACAGTTATAGAATAAAAGGTTAATGGTCAAACACAAAAAATACAACTGCAAGGACAAAGCAAACAAAAAGAGAATTTAAGCGACTAAATAAATGTGTACAGATACTTAGCTAGCCTGGATTTTTTTTTAAATCCAAGAAGGATATATAGTAAAAATACTGAATTCCTACTTCTTTGGTGCAGTAGAAATAAGCCAGAAAACGAGGTATAACATGACGGAGCTTCAGAATGGAGATAATTTAGAGCTCACATCCAGAGGGAGAGTCCATGTTTACCTCAAATTCAGCGTGTTTGTGGACGTCCTCAGCCCGCTGTCTGTTCAGGATGAACTCTGCTTCATTGGCCACTCGCACTATGTGATCCTTCATGGCATGGCACAAGAGTCTGGCAAAAGAGTTCAAATGAGACTTGAGTAAAAATTGGGAAAAATATCAAACTATAACATGATATTAGATGAAAGGTAGGAGGAAAGCATCTTTTATTGTAGCTGAACAGTTTTATTGAAACTGCTCTTGTTTTGCCTTCAATATCTGGAACTTACAGTCATCTATGTATAGCTTTTTTATTTTCCATTAACATATACTAAATAAAAAATAAAGAAACTTCAGTTTAAGAACTTTTTACTGTAGAGTTATTATTCCAAGATTTGCAGATTGATTTGGCAAATACGTAATACAACCTATTTTTTACCAGTTCAGGTCCAATCTCATCTATACAGTCTTCAATGAGAGGCAAAGGGTGTGCATCAAGGACTGTTACAGCATTCACTTTGCGAAAGTCTGTACAGAACCTTGAACTTCCATCAGCCTTCATGTCCAACAAACATGGAGAACTCCATGGGCTATAACTTGGAATGGCAAGTCCATTCTCAAGAAGATACTCAACCTCCTTTTTCATGATCTCCCTCTTGGTGGGGTTGACACGATATGCCCTCTGCTTTATAGGTGCAGGACTGGTAAGAACAATGTCATGAGACACCACACTAGTTTGGGTGGGAACATCCCCAAACAGACATGGGAAGTCAAAAAGGAGTTTTTTAATGTCCTCCACTTGGCTATCTGATAAATGGGATAGATAACTGGGCAGGTTAGCTAGTATTTCACTATTGCTAAGTCTTGCAACCTGTGGTGGGTCTTTGCGCATTACCACATCCTCCCCAGTCAACTTTGAAACGCAGGATACAGGGGAAACTGCGTCAGCTTGCCTACTCTAAAAAGCCTTCCAAGGCCTTCAGAAATAAGTAGGGCCTGAGCATCCATTATACTAAAACAGTAAACACAAGTTTTTTACTAAAATTAAATACAAAGCAAACGGTTCCACTTAAAGTTCTGTAAAGTTCAGCAAATTCAACATATTTGTATTTGTGATATGTGTTACATTACAAAGCATCATTTTCCATGTAAATAGCTAACAGTTGCTATGCTGACTTTGACACCTTAAGAGGGCGGTTTCTTAATACTGTATGTACTTGTGCGTTCTCATGTGCTCGTGTACTCTTGAAACGTCATCAGCCTCAGCCCAGTACAGTTCCAATTCACAAGAACAGCAGGCCGAGAACAAACAAAGTCCTCGGATGTTGTTCTCACCCCTGCCTCTTTACAGAGTATACATCAGAACAGACTTGTGAATTCTTAAGATTGACAGCTATCCCAGCATGCACTGTGGCAGCTGTGATTTTCCAGGTTACCGCTCACAGAGCTCAGAGTATTAAGTTAAAAGTTCACTTTTCTGTCTCTGTTGTTCTATAAAAGTAAGTTTTAAGATCATTTGAGGCGAGAACATTATACTTTTAAGCGCCACTATATGGCCCATTTACGGATTTAGTGCGTAATAAAAAAAAAAAGAAATGTCCAAAGTTGAGAGGACTGCGGCAATTGGCGGACCTCCGAGGGTAACAGAACCCAGGAGTAATCCAAGCACGTTTGCAGCAGCCCTCTCTCGGCATAGCTGTGTGTGAAGTACTGCTAGCTCTGATGATGAGTGTTTTGTTTTATTTGGCAAAATGTCCATTTTATTTGTGTTTATCTGACTGTGTTAACTATTATTTCCCCAATAAATGACAAAAAGGTAAGAATGTATTGATATCTAGAGACTATCAATAACAGGAGGTGCAGCTCCAGAAGAGCCGGGCATGTGGTGATGTCACAAGAACGCTTCTGTTCCAATTGACCAATATTTATGCAAAGAAGTTGCTGGGATGAGAATCAGCCTCTCCAAGTCAGACGACTTGACCAAAGCGCTTTACACTACATTCAGTCATTCACCCATTCATATACACACTCTCACACTGATGGTGGCAAGCTACATTGTAGCCACAGCTGCCTTGGGGCTCACTGACAGAAGTAAGGCTGCCGTAAACTGGCGCCACTTTGCCCTCTGACCACCATCAGTAGGCAATGCAGGTGAAGTGTCTTGCTCAAGGACAGCGACACTAAAAGCCAGAGCAAGGGCTCAAACCGACAGCCCTCCAATTGGATGCAAACTCCTGCATCCAACGCCACTGTCGCCCCCAGCAGCAGTGGCCTGTCCCCTTCAGGTTGGAGGAGAGTTCTTGCATCAAGTGGAGGAGATGAAGAATTATTGGGGTTCTGTTCACAACTGAGGGGAGAATGGAGTGGGAGATCAACAGACGGATCGGTGCGGCTGCTGCTTCAATGCAGACTGTGAAGAGAGCTGACCGAAAAAGTAAAAACTCTCAATTTACAGGACTGTCTATGTTCCTACCTTCACCTATGGTCTTTGATCAAATAACAAATTGTTTCTAAAAATCTAGCTTGTTTTTTTTCCAACAGGAATGTAATACTGAATAGGCCTTTTTGGTTCTCTTGTCTAAAATAGCTGAAATCGTCCTTTGTTAAGTGTGCTACTCTAAAGATAATTACTCATCTCAACCAGAAGAGATGATAAAGATGAAGGGCTCTGTAAATGGCAGTGTAACCTCTGAGCCTAATGGATTACCTTCCCTCGTTGATGAGCTCAATGAAGGCCAGCCCTGCATTCTTCTGAATGGAGTTCTGCCACTCCTGTATGCAAGAGATTAATCAAGAAAATAATTTATTCAATGAAAAACAAAAAAAGCAAAGAATACATTACCTTGAAAATGCATGTTATCTTCGAATTTGTGCTTTTTTCATATATGTTCAATTATGAAATACATTTTTGTATCAGTTATAGGAAAAGCAAAGTAAATCTAAAACAGTTTTTCATGGTGATTTCAATTAATATGGAGGAAAAAAGTATCCAAACCAAAAATGAACAGTTTCCTCGTTAAAAACAATTATCTACTGTAATTATGTTTTAATTCATGGGAATTCCACTCAACACACAGACCAGTAAACTTCCTGTAGAATCAAAAGATGACTTGAAAAAGAGGCTAGTGGACCAAGAGATAAAAAAAAATCATGCCCCTAGTGCACCGTAAGTTTAACTGATCAAATCTAAAACTGGACATCACGTTCTACCTTTTAAGATTTCTTTCAGAGACTGTAGAAAGAATTTTTTATAAAATACCAGGGAGGTTTTAACTAAAATATTACAAAAGCAGTAAACACAAACCTTGATCAGTGTAACTAAGGGGGATGGATACAGAATTAGTCAATGTGAAAAGTGGAAAAATTGCACTTTCACAGCTCTGTAAATATCAGCGGAAATACATCCATCAAACTGTGCATGATTTTCCATTTTCTTGTGCATATAGGAGGGGGGGAACATTCTAAACAGGATTACAGTGCTGCTGAAAGCCTGAAAACTATCAGCGCTCCATTAGCTACAAAGACCATCTCCTGTTACACCCTCAGCATCCAGGGGATCGATTTCTGGGCTTGGGTTTGCTCTCCATGGGCCTCAAATGGCAGACAAGAAGGGAGTTGGAGGTAATAATATACATGCTGACGAGCTGCCCCCCCCAGAAGAGCAAAGACAAAAGCAAAAGGGAGTGGTGGGACGGAAGGGTGGAAGATGAAAGCAGTTGCTACTGAAAACACTGCAGCCAGAAGAGCAGAAGAGCCTGGAAGCGTGACTGAAGATATATAGGAGAGAAGATGTAAAGAGGCTAGGTTACAGAGGAAGGCCAGGAAGAAAGAAGTTGAGGATGATTCCAAAAAGACCTCTTATGAAGAAGAATTGGAGAAAAAGGAAAAAGAGATGTGACTGCAGATGTCCTGCTCTGTAATGGTGAGTCTCATTTTGATCATCAAGTACAAAAAAAAAGAGGAAACCAAATTTAATGCATGCAGGAGAAACGAACCAGAAAAACCTCAGACATTAATAAAGATTTGTTGTTTTTGGGGATTAAACTCAATCTTTTTTAATGTTTTGTCAAATTTCTGGGCATAGAACTAGATGTATTTTATTGTAAGCATATGTTTATCGGTTCCATCAAAAGTTCCATCAAAAGAGACAATAAATATTTATGAAACTATGAACATGATTCTCCAGCTGCAGGCGTCTTCCTTAGAAGAAAAAAATTACAGATTTTGGTTATTCTACTTAAAAAATTAGAGGCCCTCATAGATTTTTCCATCCTTACCGATACTGGATGCTAAAATCCGTTTTAGTTTTACATAAACTATAGTATCAATGCCAACTAAGGAGCTGATCAGCCTCCAGCTCTGGGGGGGGGGGGGGGGGGGGGGGGGGGGTGCCGCTCTGCTGTGTTTTTTGTCTTTCCCTCCATAACACGTCTCCTTAGGGTTCCAAAGTGGGCAAATTACTGGTCAATCCAACACATTGAAACCACGGTCATTAAACCAGGCATTGGTAGCTCTAGCTGCACTTTGTTCCTCCTGAAAACCTGAAGTACCAGAGATGAATGTCTGCACGTACTGTACTTACATAAACATGATCGAAATCTGACCGCAACTTTAACTGCATCATATTATCCTTTGTTGAGTGTTAACATTTTTTTAAGCTCGCTTTTGGGATAAGGATATAAAATTGTAAATATCACTTAACTGACAGATTCAGGTATACTTTTAGTGAACATGTCCTTCCTTACAGATTTAAATCAACTTTAGGAATGAATTGGAGTAAAAAGTAATTTAGTATAGGGAAAAGAATTATTGTTTTGTTGAGGTTGATTAAAAACAAAAAACTGTGCTGTTACTAAGAGTAAGACAACAATCCAGGGGGGTCGTGAAATAAAAAAAGTAAAATGTTTGTCTTAATAACTAAAGATAAAAAAAAAAAAAACAAGCCTGTAACAACTGCTATGTGTATTTTCACATCTCAAAAATACATATTAAATATACAGGCTTAAAATATCAAGATGGGTATTATTTATCAAGTGCTTGGACTTCTTCATCAAGATACAGGCAATCAATTTTGAACTATTTGCAAGGATAAGTGCATTTTATGATTGCCTCCTTAAGCGTGCAAATGCACGAGTGGATACATGAGCAGGAGGGGAGAAGGCACTGCTTTTATGACAATGGAAGAGAGTGGACTAACAGGATAGAGGTAAAAAAAAAACAGTTCTAGAGGATGAAGGTACGTCTGTTGATTGCTTAACTTTAATCAAACCTTTATTCCTTCCACTTCAATTTCAGTTGACATGCCTGCATGCACCCCAGGGTAACAGCTTCAGTAGCATTTCCTGTTGATTATCTTGAACATGATTTTTTTCGGCCATAAAATGTCTACGTTAGAAAAATACCTCTTGTATTGGTCTAACACAATATTCTATTATCGGGATATTTTGCTATTGGATTGTGTCTCTTTTCTATGTAATTAATTCAAGTAAACATTTAAGTCTTTTTACTGCACAGTGCTGCAGTGGGTAGCACTGCTGCTTTGCGGCAAGAAGATTCTGGGTTCAATTCCCGGCCTGGGGTCTTTCTGCATGGAGTTTGCTTGTTCTCCCTTTGCATGTGTGGATTCTCTCCGGGTACTCTAGCTTCCTCTCACAGTCCAAAAACATGATTGTTACAGTTAACTGGCTTCTCTAAATTCTCCTTAGGCTCATTGTGTCCGTGAATGGTTGTTTGTCCTGTTTGTCTCTATGTTGCCCTGCAATAAACTGGCGACCTGTCCAGGGTGTAACCCACCTCTCGCCCATTGACTGCTGGAGATAGGCACCAGCACCCCTTGCAATCCCAACAGGGATAAGCGAGATGGAAAATGGATTGATTTAAGATTTATAAATTTGAAATAGTGAAATAAAATATTCTCAGTGGAGCTGAAGAAGATTACAGAGAACGAAGTTGGATGGTCACCAACCTGAGAACAGAGCAGCATTACTAGCTCCACCACAGACGTGCTGGACTTCATGCACACCAGACCTGCAGAACAGACAGAAACGCCACAGTCAGGAGTCTTTCATCTCCTGATCCACCAAAAAACAAATAAATTGAACTTCCAGAGACACTCGAACATTAGCAAAGGTATAGCAGTGTTAATACTTTTTGTTATTAGAGTCGCAAAAGTTTAATTTACAAGAAGCATGCCACAGAAAAGACAACAAGGAGAGAGATTCAGGAAAGGAAAGAGGAGAAAAGAGAGAAAGAAGGGAAACTGAGAAAAGACACAGACAGTGAAGTACAAAACAGGGAGCAGGTGGGCAGATTGAGGACACATTTAGGACAACCTACAATTTAAGAGATGCTAAATATAATCTGATCTAAAAATAAAAAAAATAAAAAATCACCTGTCTAGCTATCTGAGTTCTTATGGTGCAGTGTTGACTTCATACTTGCCTGACGAATGGGTGAAGCAGCTCAGAGACGCTCATTCACTCAGTTTCTCATACACACACAAACGCTCGGTGTTTCTTACACTCAGACAAGGCGGTGAGGGACAGTAAATGAGGAGACTCCACAGAGAGGGACGCCAGTTAGAGAAAAAGGAGCCGTGTACAGCACCTGTACCTTCTATGAGCAGTTCCTGCCCATGGCTACCCAGCAGCGTCCTGGACAGGAAGGGAGCGAAGTCCACGAAGATCTCCCTCAGCAGCGGTGCTACTTTCTCCAGAGCACGCTCCAGCTTGGTGGTGATGCTGTGGAGGGGGGGAATGGGGCGAGATAGAAAGATGAAGAAAGAAAACAAGTGAGAAGAAGATAAGTGACAAACAGACTTTACTTTTTAGAATTTACAAACAGATGGAAAACATGCATGCATGAGAGAAATAAGCAGGGAAATGTGAGGACAAGAGAAAAGCAGGGAGTGTAAACCAGACATGGACGACACAAAAGGTCCGAATCAAACATGACGATGGTTTGGGTTCAGTGGCTCGGCGGCTGTGTTAATACTGGGAAGGTGCTGCAGTTAAAAACATTATTGAACAAATCAATTACAAAAAAATAAATGAATGAGGCAGCTTTAATATGTTGCACAAACTGGATTGTATGTTTGCTTGTCTTATAAATTATTTTAGCTTTATATAACAGAACAACAGATCACTATAGATGCATTTTTTTCACTGACCAAAGAAAGTAAATTTTAAGATTTCTTGGAAAACAAAAGCTGAATATTTTGAAGTTACAGCTCTGGTTTGAGTGGTTTGCATGCACTCAAAGTGGATTAAGATGTAATTAATTCTGGATTCTTAGTCATGATTTAAAGCATTTATCTTATTGTGGGTTTTTAATAAAACATGTAACTTTAGTCAAGAGTAGAAACAAACCCTAGACTCTAATTTATTTTGTATTAATGCATGTTTTAAAAAAAAAATTTCAGGGAAGCTGAATAGTTTGTGGCTTAACCGTTTGCAATTTTTTTTGTGTGTATGATAATTCTGAAACCTTGAAATTTAGGAAATTTGGATTAAATTTTAATTAAAGCACAAAAAAGTACCAAAAATATATCACTAAAGGCATGATTCAAGTTTGTAATGAGTAGATGTGAAGTTCTGACTGGTATCTTCAGTCCTTACTTGGTAATATGTGTAAGCTACTAAATACCGATGGCTGTGTTCTGTGTTTTGAAAAAATAAAAAAAAATAATATATATATATATATATATATATATATATATATATATATATATATATATATATATATATATATATATATATATATATATATATATATATATATATATATATATAAGCTATATTAAAGCATTAAATTGCAGGAAAGCAAACTGAAACATCAATATGTTAAAAAACTGCTGAGTTTGTTGTTATAAAACAAAAAGAAAACTTTAGAGCTATTTTCCTAGTGCAGTAGAGGGTTAAAGAATACAGTGTAACCCAGGTCTGATCTAGACTTTGGGCTCAGTGTGGGAAGACAATCATGCACTAAGTGACAGACTAAAATGTGGTGCCGCAAATGCGAAAAGTATGAGTTGTTGGCCTTAAAACAAAAGCGATGCCGTCATCTTGCTAAAGCAAAGATGTCCGTCTTTTGTTACATGGCATACAGAGAACATTTAGTCGTAGCTGGGCAGAGCAGAAAGGGTGTGGTGGAGGGTGTGGCAGAGAGGGGAAGGGGACAGGACGGGTGTCTTCTTGCCTAAAACACTGTCCTGCATCTCGGGGGGCTGCCTGGAAGCCTGCCAGAGAGCTAAAAGACTTGAGCTCAGGGGGCGTCTGACCGCTGCGCAGCGCACACTGCGCCACCTCACAATAGGCACTGGAATACAAACCACACATAAAGAAAAACACACATGCAGACATGCACACTGATTAAGGATCACACGTACACACCCACACACTCCTGTGTCTGTGCACTTTTACAAGAACAAGTGTCTGCTAATACTAAAGCACAAACTTCTTCAAATCATTTGCTTCCTTAAAGTCATTTTCCTGTTCAAACTTTAGAGACAAAACAGAGATTGATGTTAATGACAGTTTCATTTAGATTTTTCTAGAAAACATTGCGAACTGTGAGTTCAAGCCCATATTTTAATACATAGCTTTGAATATTTGGTCATATCCCCTGAAATCTTTCTCCTGTTCTGTTACAATATTGTGATTTGTTACTGTATATTATTTGGATTGAGGTGAAAGACCAACACAATGAAGAGCAAGTTAGATTAACTATATTTATCCCCCCTGAGTTAATATTTTCTAGAATCACTTCTTACTTTAATCACATCTGCAGATCGTTTTGAATTTAAATATATTTTTTTCTAAAGTTGTTTTTTTTTCTCTACATTTAGATACAGATTTGATTTGTCTAGTTGTCTTTGGAAACTAACTGGAAGTCAGTCAGAACAAATAGAGAATGTTTTTGACT